TCTGACCCAGTACAGCTGTTCGTATGTAATCCCTCTCCCCTCCCCGAGCCAGGCACCCACCGCTCCATTCCAATCCTCCTCCCCTCTCCTCCCTCCACAGCCAGGCACCCTCCTGCGCTCACCCAAGTCCCGGAGCTGGAGCCGCCGCCGCTGCTGCTACCACCATGTGCCTCTCCCTGCAGGCTCAGGGCACATGCGCTGAGTGTCTGGCCTTAAGCATGAGTTGGCTGGGACGCCAAGGGCAGAGGGCCAACCTTGAGCACGTTCTGGCTGGGACGCCAAGTGTGAGGGGCAGGAGGAGAGGGGACGTGAGTGCGCTCACCCAAGTCCCGGAGCTGGAGCCGCCGCCGCTGCTGCTACCACCATGTGCCTCTCCCTGCAGGCTCAGGGCACATGCGCTGAGTGTCTGGCCTTAAGCATGAGTTGGCTGGGACGCCAAGGGCAGAGGGCCAACCTTGAGCACGTTCTGGCTGGGACGCCAAGTGTGAGGGGCAGGAGGAGAGGGGACGTGAGCATGACTCGGGAGCCGTGGGTTGGCCACCACTGATATAGCGAGACTCTTGTGAACATCGTGCCTGCCAGGAACATAGACCAAGGCTAACCAGTGTTGGAGGCACCGAAGGTGAAGCCTGGAATGGGCTATGAGGTATGTGGTAGCTGCCATGTGTCCCATGAGTAGGTGATAGGTGAGTTCAGGGATGATGGGGCTTGTGGTGAGGACCTGTACCAGGTCCTGGATAGCCTGAAATCTGTTTATAGGCAGGTAAGCTCGGGCAGTGGATGAGTCTAGGCGCACTCCAATGAATTCGAAAGATTGTTGAGGTGTCATGGACAATTTTGGGAAACTGATTATGAGACCAAAGGCTTTGAAGACTGCCGTCACTGATGCGTGTTGTCGAAGGATGGGCCCTTGATCAAACAGTTGTCGAGATAAAGGAAGATAATAATCCTGACCCGACGGAAGTGGGCCGCGACAACTGCAAGGGTCTTTGAAAACACTGTGGATGCTGAAGACAGGCCAAAGGGTAAGACTCTTTATTGGAAGTGTTCGGTTCTGATCACAAATCTCAGAAAATGCCTGTGTGCTGGGTGAAATCGTGACGTGGAAGTATGTGCCCTGAAGGTCAAGGGACGCAAACCAATCTCCACTGTCTAGAGTTGGGATAATGGATGCCAAGGTCACAATTTTGAATCTCTATTTGCGAAGGTGCTGGTTGAGTCGATGGAGATCTAGGGTCGGTCTATATCTGCCCAACTTTTTCTGGGTAAGAAAATAATTGGAATAAAATTAATCCCCTCCCCTGGAATTCTCTGGGTACTCTTTCCACTGCTCCGATGGTAAGGATCCGAAGTACCACTTTTCTTAACAGTGAGAGGGGTCCCTGAAAAGGGCTTGGGAAGGTAGGGAGAGACGGGGGAGGGAGTTGAAGGGGACTGAGTAATCTGATGTTATTAGCTCAAGAACAGTGGTTAATGGTGGCCCACCATTCTTTGGAATGGTTTTAGGCAGTGATGGAACAACTGAGCCTGTTCATATTGGTGACCAGACAGAAGAACGGCTTGCAGACCCTCGACCAATGCATCAAATTTGCTGCTGATTATTCTGCTGGTTACTCATCTTGTTCTGTGGGTGCCGTTTTCGCAGACGCTGTCCAGAACGGTGTTGCTCTGTGGTCCTGTATTGAGGAGTCGAGTAAGGGAAGGGTCTGCATCTCTGGTATGGAATGTAATACTTGCGTCTGTATGGAGGCATGTACATGCCCAGTGTTCTTAATGTAGCTCTCGAGTCCTTGCTAGTGTGAAGGACCTCATTTTTCTCTGCAAAGAGTTTCTGCCTAGTAAAGGGGAGATACTCCATCTTCGACTGCAGCTCTTTAGGTACTCTTGCAGACTGCAGCCATGAAGCCCTGTGCAAAACCACCGACGTTGCTATGGATCGTGCAGCTATGTCCGCGATGTCAAGCGCAATCTGGAGCGCCGTACATGAAGCAGTGTACTCTGCCTGTACCACAGCTTTTAGAATTTGGCATTTGTTGTCTGGGAGGTGTTCAATCAGCAGCGTCAATTTCGTGTACTTATCGAAATTGTGGTTTGTGAGGAGGGATGAATAGTTAGACATCCTCAGTGTTAAGGTAGCTAAGGAATATACCTTTCTACTGAAAAGATGTAGTTTTTTACTATCTTTATCGGTGGTATTAGACCTATATTGTGGGTTCTTGGCTTCCTGCTGCGCAGCATCAACCACGAGAGAGCTGGGTTATGGGTGTGTGAAAAGGAAGTCCATTCCTTTGGCGAGCATGAAATATTTCTTATCAGCCTTCTTGTTTGTTGCTGGTCTGCCATATGTCATCTGCCACTTCTAGAATAGCCTCGTCAAGGGGCAAGGCAACTTTGGACTTTTGGAATGGCTGTACATTTTTTAAACGGTGGTGCTGCTTCTGTTGTATCTCAGTGAGCTGGACCTCCTGACTATCTGCCACTTATTTAAAAAGATCCTGAAACTGGCAGAGATCATCGGGTGGTGATGAGTCCCTTGGGATTACTGACTCATCAGGTGAGGATAAGGATGGATCGGTTGGGGAGAGCTCTTGTGGTTGCTTGTGGTCCGAGAGCTGACCTTCCTCGGGTTCAGAAAGCTTAGGTGGTTCAGGTGCAGTTTGTGGAGGAGTGGATTGGTGTGTGCTGGTTGGAGAAGGAGATCTGATCCAGCTCCATCTGGTGTTTGATCTGTGATCGCAAGATGACCAATGTCTAGAACGGCGCGGAGAAATGGAATAGTGTGTCGGGCAGTGATATTCATAATAAGAGTGATCGTAATGGCGGTTGTAATAGATTCTAGCTGGTGAGGAGTATCTCAAGGAAAACCCGCTCCTCCGGTCATCATGGTAGTGGGTGTATGCAGAAAACATGGGCAATCTGAGCAACATGGATCTGCATCTTGGTGATGTTGGAGACATCGCTATATGTCAGTGCCGAGCACAGCTACGGGATGATGGATGGCTCATGGATGCATCATTGTAGTGTGGTGTTCCACTGTAGCACGGTACCGCTGGTTGGTCATTGATTGGGTCTAAAGGTGCTGGAAAAGGAGACAGGGGTCCCGGAGAAAAGGTGATAGACTCTGGACTGGGAGAGGGAGTAATGACCCTTGTCATTTGCAGTGGGCTTTTGTCAGTGCCAGTTGTTGTGGTGGTACAGGCTCCACAGAAGGCTGCAGAACAGGATGCCTGCTCGGGACTATACATGGTGCTGATGTAGCCAGTGCCGCTGGTGCCGGGTGTGACGCTGGGGCTGGTGTGGTTACCAGTGCCAGATCCACCGCCAGCACCATCATTGGTGCCGTGGATGGCGTAGGTGCCGATGGTGATCCCCGTGTCAGTCTTAGACCCGGTGCCGATACACTATGGCCCAGTTTTGTCTTGTCTGGGCGGCATAATGGGACCATCCTGACGAGTCCGGCTTGTCTCCAATGCTAACATGGATTGGTAGAAAGGACCCTGTCAGAGAGGGCCTCTTCTTGGCTGAAACCTGAGAGCTTGGTGAGGTTGCTCGGCGCTTATCTTTTTTCACTGAGTCAGACATGGGTGCGGAAGGGTCCTTTTGAGAAGGCTCCAGTGCTTTATCGAAAAGAAGCATTCTGAGCCTCATTTCTCTGTCTCTGCGCACTCGTGCCATCAGTTTGGAGCAGTGAGGTCATTTCTGGGGAATGTGTCCCGCCCTGAGACATCGTATGCAACGGGAATGCCTGTCAGACGCTGGCATGGGCTCCCTGCAAGCATCACGTTTTTTAAAACCAGGCGATCCCGGCATGGTTGCCTGCTTTCTATCTATCTACGTATAAACGTATACATATATTATTTGTTGGTTTTTTATAGGGTTTTTTAAAATGTAAAAAGAAGAAACTATTGACCTACTGCTAAAGCTAACTAAGAACTGTTAAGAGAACAATAACTATCTAAAACTCAACTAAAAGTAATTTAATTTCTGACAGGATCTAAGGAGAAAGAGCTCACTCCATCTGTGACCAAAGGATGGTTAGGAGGAACTGGCAGGAGCCGGACCGCACGCTCTGAGAAATGGCGCAAATGGCACGAGGCGCCTGATGCGCATGAGACCACTGCTGACGAATCTGCGGCGCTGGGACAAGCCCAATACCTACAGTGGAGCACCCATGGAGACATCACTCGAAGAAGAAATAATGGTTACGGGGGGGGGGGGGGGGGGGGGGCACATGCACCTCTCTCTGCCATTGATAAAGGGAGGGAACTTTAGGAGCTTGCTGTGTAAAACATTTATGTAGAGTCAGATGGATTTATTGGGGGGGTTTGCTTCCACTGGGGCTGTGCCCACGGGCCTGTCAAGTCTCTGTACTTGAGCCTTCCCAGAGCTGAGCTGTAATCAGTGTCTCTGTTATTTGGCTGGGAGGGTCCTACCCCAACTTGGTGCCTTGGCTGCAGAAGATCAGAACTTTTGGCACCAGGGGAGTGAGGTGCCTCAGTTGGGGATTACATCAGTGAGGGCTTGGGGTTTTTTGGAGTATACAAATAAAGAAAACATTGAACAGGACAGGGTGGTGGAGTACCCCACAGGGCTGGCGGGCAGGCTCAGTGCTATGCGCAGCTCATCAGGAGACAGTTTCAAGGGAAACTCTGTGACTCAACCCATCACAATGGGAACCCCCAGGGACCAGGTTGTACCTGGAGCAGGGTGGGGCAGCTCATGGGGACCCCTGGGGCCAAGCTGTACCTGGGGCAGCTCATGGGGACCCCCAGGACCAGGCCGTACCTGGGGCAGCTCATGGGGACCCCCGGGGCCAGGCCGTACCTGGGGCAGGATGGTGAAGCTGAGAGGAACTGCCTTGAATCTGCTGGACAGAAATTTCCCATCAAAGACCTCCAGTTTCCCGTCCTCGGGCTGGGGACAGACGTCAAAGACAGACTCGGCTGAGGGCAGCTCGATGGCGTAGCAGCTGCTGGACAGGACTCTACGAGCAAAGCTGTCAAAGAGAGCCCAGTGCCTGCAAAAGACAGGCAGAGAGATGGAGGGCAGCTCCCTGCCTGGCCCCAACTGGGACAGCTAGACCCGCTCTGCTCCCAGAGGCAGGCTGGAATCAGAGAGTCCCACCAGGACCTTGGCTGCTGGCGTCCCCCCCATCTCCCAACTCTTCCATCCACTATGTTCACCTCGCAGCGCTGCTCACTCCTGAGCCTCATTGGCGTGGCTAGCGGGAGATGGGCCAGGAGTGGGCCCACTGGCCCAGACTTAGTGAACCCCAAACTGGTACCTGGGATGCAGGTGGCCACCGAACCCCCAGATGAAGGCAAAGACAAAGATGCTGCGGACAAGCAGATGGTGATGGGCGGGGACAGTTTCATCCAAGTGCCGGTGGGAGTGGGCCTTTGCGACTCCAGCACAGCTGTCCTCAGCCACTGGAGAGAGGAAGCGTCAGTCACCCTGAGGCAGGGGCCACTGGCCTGGCTCATTGGCAAAGCCTGGAACTCTGCGAGGATGCCAGATCCTTACTGGCCTCATCACAAGCATTTATGACTCCCGGGCAGCCTCCACCCACAGGACCCTGGGGCACCCTGGAAGAGCAAGGGAGAGCACAAAAGTCCTGCTGGGATTCCCCTCACCTGCTGGGTCCCCCCGTCTCAGGGGCTGGGCCTTCACCTTGTCGGGGCTCAGGTGCTGCTCCAGTAGAACCTTCAGGAGGCGGGTGAAGGCTGCGGTCTCCGGGACTCCGCAGGCCACGGGGCTGCACAGGTCGGCGTGCGGCTGCAGGACGGAGCTGCAGTTCTGCTGCAGGAAGGTCAGCGTGGGGGGCACGACGTCGGCAGCAAGGCCACGCAGCATGGCCACGCTCTCCTGGCTCATGTTGTGCATGTGGGAGACAGTGGCGAGAGCCGAGGCCAGCAGTGCTTGCCAGACGCACGCGCCCCTGCAGTGCAGGAGGGTGCAGTGCGTGGAGATGGATGGAGAAATGCTGGAGCCGTCAGGCATCTCAAAGAGGAACTTCACAGTCTCCGGGGGCTGGAGCCACTGCCCACTCGGCAGGCTGAGAGCGGGCTCTGCGCGGAGCAGTGAGGAGATGGGGTCCAGCCACTCGGCACTGGCAGAGCCGTCCAGCACCAGCCATTGCTGGGTTCCTGGCACGCCCAGCCCAGAGGCAGGGGCTGAGGCAGCTGCTCCTTGCAGGAGCCGGGAGAAAACACCCTCCCGCCAGATGCCTCCCTCCAGCCAGCCCAGGAACTCGGCGGCACTGAGGCCGTTGGGGCAGAGGCAGACAGTGCTGACGGGCCGATATGCCACATCCCTCCGGGTGCTCGGCCTGCCTGCTCCTGCCGTCAGCTCCAGGGACTCGCTCGCAGCCAGCCTGCTCAGCACCTTGGCCAGGGTCTTCCAGGCTGTGGTCTTGCCGCTGCCCGAGGGCCCCAGCAGCAGGACTCCCGGTGAGCCCATCAGGGCCTGGTGAAGCTGCACCATGGTGCTGGTGAGTTCGGAGTCAGTGTGGAGCTTGTCCTCGTGCAGCTGGGCTGCCACAGCACTCAGCAGCTGGGGGGGGACCCGGGCCTCGGGGAGCAGGGAGCAGGAGGCCGGGAAGAGCCCACGGAGCAGCTCCCACACTCTACTCAGCCTGGGCTCCTCCATGGAGGCCAGGAAGGGTGAGAGGCAGAGAGCTCGGAGGAGAGCAGGCTCCTCAGCCAGGCTCTCAAAGGCCTGTACCTCTGGCCTGGTGGTGGGCGGATACACTGTGCCAATGGCTGCCTCAATGACCCTCTGGAGCAGGGCCAGGCGGCTGGGGGCAGGGCCCGGGCCCAGCTCCCCCTCCAGCCAGAAGAAAGAACTGAGCTTCTTGGCCAGGGGCTCTGCTTCCCGGAAACCAGCTGCCAGCAGCATCACCTCTGCCACCTTGTGCAGCGCGGGGGGCAGCAGGCACACGGGGCGCAGGACCAGGCGCAGGAGCTCAGGCACGCGCCGCATGGTGGCCAGGCAGCCATAGGTCTCCCTGACCCGCAGCAGCCGCTCCCCAAAGAGGATGTTCCCCAGCACGCAGGGCTGGAAGGGCTCGGCCTCATCCAAGCCCAACTCTGGCAGGGCCCTAATAGGCTGCTTCTGCCCCTCCCCATCCTTGCTCTGGTCGGTGGGGGTCCCCTGGGGCTCCCCCTCCCGCAGGCCCATGCAGAGCCTCTGCAGGTCTGACAGGAGCTGGCTGAAGCCGGACAGGACACCGGGCTCCAGTTGGTCCACGGCCTCCAGCAGCAACCAGGCCCCAGCCTGCACAGCCCCACTCAGGTGCCTGCTGAGGCAGCCCAGACCCATCTGATGGGAACAGTGCAGGGTGACGACCTGGCGCCCCAGCGCCCTGGCCAACTGCTGCACAGCGGCTGTTTTCCCAGCCCCGTAGCAGCCAAGAGCAGCTCCGCAGTGGAACTCCTGCAGCGCCAGCAGCAGCCCCAGGAAGCTCCTCTCCAGCTGGGGGCTCCCCACCAGGTGGGGGCAGTTCCCCACATACTCGTAGTCATAGTGCAGGCTCATGTCAAGGGTCTCGGCCCAGCAGCCTGGGGAGCTGGCAGCCCAGGTCTCAACAGGGGCACCCACGGCCCTGGCACTTTCGGGGTGCACAGCTAGCCGGTACTTGAGCAGCTGGGCCCAGTCAAAGGCGGTGGGTGAGTCGACCTTGCGCTCCAGGAGGCGAGCCAGCACGTCGCGCTGGTGCACGGTGATGGTCAGCAGGGCCCCCAGCAGCGTACTCATCCGGGTTCTGCCCGGCTGCCCTGCATGGCTACTGCAGTAGTTGCGGACATAATGGGCCAGGGCCTCCAGCTTGAGTTTGTGCTTGAGCTTCAGGCCAGGCTTGCGCATGGAGCTGAAGAGACGCTCCTGCACGTCCACGTGCCACCAGGCCTGCTCGGCCAGCAGCACACACTGGGCTGGGAAATCTGTCGCCAGCTGCACCCAGTGCTCCACCAGTAGGTGCAGTGGCAGCTCGGGGGGGCCTGGGCGCTGCTCAAAGGCCACGTCAAGCTGGGGGCGCAGGGCCAGGCGCCGGACCATGCACCCCTGCAGCAGGTAGAAGAGGGCCTCTTTCATGTGCTGCTCCAGGTTGCACAGCCATTTAGTGACCTTCTGGTGGAGCAGCAATGGGGAGCACAGCAGCACCGTCTCCCCACAGGCTCCCACCAGACCTGTGGCCTCCACCGTAGGCAGCAGGACACCGTAGATGGCAGGGTCATGAGTGGCCGAGGGTTCACGGAAGGCCAGCTGATGCACAGCGGGGAAGCAGCGGCGGGGTGCTGCTCCAGGTTGCACAGCCATTTAGTGACCTTCTGGTGGAGCAGCAATGGGGAGCACAGCAGCACCGTCTCCCCACAGGCTCCCACCAGACCTGTGGCCTCCACCGTAGGCAGCAGGACACCGTAGATGGCAGGGTCATGAGTGGCCGAGGGTTCACGGAAGGCCAGCTGATGCACAGCGGGGAAGCAGCGGCGGGGCCCGCTGGGCACCCCC